ATGCGACGAATCTTTCTGCGCAAATTCAGGAACGGCTGCACAAAGCCTTTCCGCCTAAAGTGAATGATCCAAGGAAAGGCTATATATCCCAAGAGGCATGGGCGATTCGAGCATCGCGGATGAGGATAAGGCAGCAAATCCAGACTGCAAGGAACTCCCTCCACCACTCCACCCAGCAAGCTGCATGGGACAGTTGGAAACGGATGGAGCCGCTTGACGTCAGTAAGCTCCTTGCGAAGACTTGCAAATGCTTTGTTTCCTTGTGGAAGCTGAAGCTTTTAAGCTCCACTGAAGCTAAGCGCCTCAAAAAACAACTGCGATGCGATCGTACCCTTTTCCTTGAGAATCTGGCCAAGCAGATGCCAACTATGAGCCAGGCTGATTTCTTCCAGGCGCTACGAAGTGCAGGAGTGAAAAGTGCAAAAAAGCCTGGGCCCATACAGCCGCTGCCGATGCTAGCAGAGGACGATGGTACACCCATTCTGGATCTGAACCGGATACGAGAAAAATGGAGAACATACTTTGCGGCGCAGGAGGACGGGGTTGCTACCACGCCAGAGGGGTTGATGCAGATCTGTGATGAGCTAGGAAAAAAGGGGCGACCATTGCCGCAATGGGATGATTTGCCCACTATCCTGCAGATCGAGCGCCAATTTCGTGCGACCAAAAAGGCCAAAGCTTACTTTGTAGACGGGGTACCTGGAGATGTCTTAAATAGGGCACCGTCTCTAATGGCCAGGTTGTACTACCCTCTTTTCCTAAAAGAGGTGATGATGCTTAGAGAGCCATGCGTCTTTAAGGGGGGCACGCTTGTCCCTGCTTTCAAGAGAGGAAACCCGGCATGTTGTAGCAGCTATAGGAGTCTTTTTGTCAGCTCGCCTGCAAGCAAAGCATTACATGCGGTCTACCGCAAAGAGCTCATAGCTGACTTTGCTCAACGACGCCTTCCTATGCAATTGGGGGGTATACCAGGATTCTCAATTACCCAGGCGGCGCATGCTGTGCGTCTGTTCCACCACACAGCTGCAATCAAAGGCCGCAGCTCAGGAATCCTTTTTGTCGATGTAAGCAATGCGTTTTACCGGTTGCTCAGAAGACATGTGATCTCCTCTCAAGTTGATGACCGAGCTTTTGAGACGATCTTTGCAGAGATGGGATTGCCAGAGCATGAATATGGTGATTTCCTTGCTTTGATAGAACCAGAGCCAGCAATTGAGGCATCTGAGGTGTCACCTTACGTTAAAGAGCTTTTTCGAGCATTTTATGAGGCCACGTGGTTCCAGATCCGAGACCATGATGTCTTGACGCGCACGCGTCGAGGATCGAGACCGGGTGATACTTTTGCTGATATGGCATTTGGGTACGCCCTGCATCGGGTTTTGGCCCCAGTCTTTGCTGCCTTGGAACAAGAATTCCCTGACATTGCCATACAGGCAAGTGTAGATGTCCACCCGTATAGTGTCACCGAAGAGGTTGTGAGCTTGGGCGTTTTGGCGCCTATTTGGGCGGACGATCTTGCGGTTTCTTTTGCAGCAGATTCTGTTGAAGATGTGATTTACAGAGCTAAACGGATCGCTGGAACTATTTTTGACCGACTAACGCTTGCGGGATTAACACCCAATCTTGCAAAAGGCAAGACAGAATTGATGCTTACTTGCAGAGGTAAACGCTCTCTGGAAGCCAGGAGACAATTGTCTCACCAGGGGCATGAAATTCAAACATCCACGAGACTTGTCCTGGGTAAGCTGCGACTTACTGGAAGCTATAAGCATCTGGGGACATGGGTTGAACAAAAGCAGGGCATCCGAAAGGATGTGTCTACAAAGTTTGCTGCAGCCCATGAAGTGATGACGCGCTACCGAAGTCAAATTTTTCGAAACCGACAGCTGTCTCTAGACAAAAAGAGACAATTTTTCGACTCGTTAGTTTTCTCAACAATGTCCTTCAACATGGCTTTGTGGCAATCTCCCACGAAAAGGAAGGATCGACAACTGGAAACAGGGTTTTCGAAACTTTTCAAACGTTTTGCCATCATGCATTTCGGACAAGACGCCATCCCTTGGTCAAACGAACGTGTTCTCCACGAAACGGGGCTACATAGCCCAGACACTCTACTGTCTGTCGCACGTCTACGGTATGTCAACCATTTGATGAGAAACGGCCAGCTACATGTCTGGGCTTTGATACGAAGTGAGCAGATATGGTGGCAGCGAGTTGAGGAAGATATAGCATGGCTTCAGCAGTTTTGTCCCGAAGCTGATGTGCCATCACCAAAGCTTGACTGGCAGGCATGGAAAAGCTTCATGGAACAGCCGGCCTCTAAATGGAAGGCCCTGCTGAAGAGAGCTTCGGCCCGAAGCAAAGCTTATTTTCAAAGACGTTTTGCCTGGGAGGAGTGGCATGCCAAGATTTTCCATGACATACTAGAGGCTGGATTAGGCTGTTCCACAACCCCTGTTTCTAAAGCTTCTCATTACTGCCTGCAATGTGAAAGGACTTTTATCAGTGCATCAGCCTGTGCTGTACATTCGTTCAAGAGACACAATAGGGCAGCCAGGGCGCGCGATTTCGTTACTGGTGAAGTCTGTGAAGCATGCCTCAAGGTGTTTTCTTGCCACGTTGACTTGCTCAACCACGTGAACAGGCAGACCGCGTGTTTCCGACTTTACGAAGGGCGCGGGCAGCAGGTCGAGAGAGAGCCGGGTGTCAACAGCAAGCAAGCGAACAAGGGACGGTCTGAATTAGCTGATCCATATATGCAAGCTGAGGGACCTAGACCAGTCTGGGAAGAGCTCTACGGGGCGCGTACTGTGCTTGCTGAACAGAAGATAGCGCTACACCGTTCGTGGGGAACAGCTGTTCAAGGGCTGGAGCAATCGGATGACATCCTAGAAGCCCTCCGACTGGCAACTAAGGTCACCTTTCTCTACCATGAGGAGATATTGCAGTGCTTCGACGACTGGAGCCAAAACTGGCTCGGTCTCCACGAGGAGGCGCCCCTAACCATGATGTCGGCATTCCAGCTGTTCAAGATCAGTGCCTGCGGAGAGTGGTTTCTTGAAGGCAGATACGCTGACCAACATGAGCATGATAGGGCAATGGCTTTCTTCTGGAAGCAGTCGCAGGACATGAGAGAGCTTCGGTACGAGCATCCAGAGAGAGTCCGCTACAGGCCCCGAATGGTGGCTCACCTATTCTCAGGGGCTAGGCGCAACTTAGACGTACAGGAACACCTGGAACAGAGAAGTTTCATGGCTGTTTCAATCGATATTATTTTTGACGCCAGGTGGGGCGACTTAAGCCGTGAGGAGACCTTTAATCTCTTTGCCGAAGCGCTCCGTGCAGGCTACCTCGTGGCGTGGATCGCTGGCCCGCCGTGCGAGACATGGTCCATCGCACGCTACAATGTGCTCCCTGGAGGCCCCAGACCGGTCCGCCGACGGGGATCCCCGTGGGGGAATTTCGACCTCACATTGAAAGAACACCAACAGGTGGCGATTGGGAGCCTGCTGCTTGGCATCACGATCAGGCTCATGTGGATCACGATTCTCGCTGGTGCCACTTCTGTCCTTGAACACCCAAGCGATTTGAGCCTAGATGTCAACCGTCCAAGCATATGGCGACTTGCGATCATTCGCTACCTTCTGCGTTTTCCACAGTGTGACTTGGTAGAGATATTGCAGGGCCATTTTGGAGGTGCTACTCCTAAGCCAACTACTCTTTTCATTATCAACGGTGCTGTCGATAATGCTGGGCTTCTCAAATCCCTGCAGACAACACCTCTCCCAAAGACTTGCGCCTTCGGTCGCGGTGAGGACGGCAGTTGGAAAACTGCAGCCCTTAAGGAATATCCGCCTGGCCTGTGCAAGGCTCTATGCTGTATAGTTGAAGCAGGCCAGACGAATGGTCCACAGGAGGAGGACGCTGAAATTCCGGCTGTCTTCCTCGAAACCATTCGCGAGCTGACCAGAGATTTCAATTTTCTGGCCGAGCGAGGACCTGACTTCCACGCTCCTACTGCATGAATTCATAATTAGATGCCTGGTCGCGGACGACAGTCTAAGGCAAGCAGAAGAGGAAAAGATCTGAAGGGTCTGAAGATGTCTGAGGTCGACCAGGTCGACCAGTGGAGCATCCTTTGGAGCATCAAGGGGGTACTCCTTCACACATTCAGACCTTTTTGAGAGGAATGTGATTGGATCCTGGAAATACCTGGAACCCAACATATCAGAGACCGTTGTTGTTCTTTTCTGAGAAGTGGATGGAACAGTGGCAATGAGGGGGGCAATGCAAGAGATTCCCAGTGTGAGCCACCAAAATAAGACAGATGGGACATGATGGGATAGTATATTGGATGGGAAAGCTCAGAAACCTCGTATCTCCACAGTAATTCAGGCTCGGTATTGGAGCTGCCGCTTATATAAAGTGTAAGGAATCAAGCGTATCAGCCCTGTCAACGTAGGTACAGAGTCCAGATATATCCACAATATGATCAAATATGGATCCCTGCCCCGGTGGTGGATTGAGTAGAAGAACTCTTCCAAGTGCAACTTTTCTCTCTCACACATCACTAACACAGACCTTTGAAACACTCAAAGCGGCTCATCTTGGATTTGCCTCTCTGGACCTGGGAAAAGAACAACAATTCCATACAATTCCTACAGATTCCACTCGATTCATGTCACAACCAGTGGGCTTCCTCAATGATCTTCCTCAATCATGTGGTCTGTTCAGGCGTCATTCATGTTTCAGAGCCACCTGCGACCGACCCGGGACACGTGTTGGACGAACCCCAAAAAAGAAAACACGTGTTGGACGAAGTCCCAACATGTGGGAATCAGACCCATCAGCTTCCAACAATCCACCCCCCCACATCAATAAAATCTGAAAAAAAAGGAAAGTCTCCATCCCTAAAAACCGAAGCGAAAACGTCTCCGCAGTGGACGACCTCGTCTCCCAGGTTCTCCCAGTCTCCAGCCCTCGAAGGAGCCGTGGGGCGCCTTCTTGCTCGCATAGGCTCGGCTCTCGGATTCGTCCGGCGTATCGCTCGCGTCGGTCCTGGCCGGGCACATGGTCGGTCCATGCGCCGGCCAGGCTCGAGCTGTGCGGCTCGTCCAAGGCCGACGACACGCACATGTCAGACCTAGTGGTGATGAAAAACCATGTGTTTTGACGGTGTTTGATGGTGTTTGGCCTCCGAGACATCCATTCTGCTCCCCCAAAAAAGGATGCGCACCAACCTGGTGAATCATGAAGCACACACCGATCCCACCGATCCCATTAACGCAAGGTGGGATAACCGATCCCAGGCGATGGACGACCAAAGCTGGCGATGGACATTGGACTTCCAAGGATCCAATCTGAAAGCGCCTCAAAAAGACACGAACTGTACACAGTACACCCGGATAGAATCCTGATCCTGCCCGGATAGAATGGGTGTGTCAAATAGAAGGGGTAGTTGGGAACCAAGTCCGTTTTCCCCCCTGCGTCGCTCTGCGGGTTTGCGTTCCGGTCTGATCGTCACTGGGCGGTTTACCCGTGGCTGACCCCCCCCCCCGAGCGGTTGATTCACCAGTTCTTTTTTTATGTGGAGAAACCCATTCCCAAAAAAGAAGCTTTAAAAACATGTTAAAGCATGTTAAAGCTATTCTATTCTCCGCCTTTTCGGTTTTTCGCAGTGACCACTAACCTCGCCCAACCTCGCCCATGGATGTCCACGAGCTTGGTCTAAAGACGTCACTAGTAGCGTCCTTGCTCCGTTCGTAGCGATGCACCTTGCTACGTTCGTAGCTTCTTGCTACTAGTAGTAATGCCAGGAGCTACGTTCGTAGCGTCCTTAGTCCCTTGCTCCTCTCATCACTCTCGTCTCTCCTCCGACTTTCAGAGCCCAAGAAGGACCCCATGGGCGTGGGCAACGGCGCCCAATCCTCCACGGCGCCCAACAGAGCCCGGACGGTGGCGGCGACAGCGACGGGGCGTCGAGTCGGTTTCGGCCGGTGAAGCCAAGTCGAGTCGCAATTTCTGGAGGTTTGGGAGGGCAAAGGGAAGTGCCCAGTGCCAGACGCAACCCTGGAACCTCACAATATGGAGGGGCCGGATCCCGAATTTTCTGGAGGGGTCTGGGTCGAACCAATCCCTAGGTTTTGTGGGGCAAGGGCTGTTTGGAGCGTCTGGGTGGGGCTGTTTTCACTCACGGAGCGTCTGAATGGGACTGGATGAATGAATTTCGGATGAGAGATGATGGGAGAACACTCGAAGATCTGATACTTGAACAGAGTCTGTCTGAATTAGTCAGATTCTGCCAACTCGGTGGTCCTGTGTGAGTCAGTAAAGGGATCATGGGAACCTCACCATCCAGGGCTCATGGATTCATAAAATCATATAAACCCCGTTTCAATTACAGGATTTACCAGGGCCCTAAGGCATGGTTAATGGACACCCCGTATACCCTCTAAGGGGTCATCAGACACCCCTTAGGGGTCGCCCTGATGGATGTTTTGATGACACATGTGCTCCGGACTCGGAGTCCTGGCTGATACAGAACACATCAAAACATGCCACAACTCTCAAGGTGTGCGAGGGCGAGCGCTGATATCTGTTACACCCGCGCTTTGCAGATCTTCTCTTCGTCGGTGTGCAAACATCGTGGGTTGGAGAACCCAGTGTTGCCTGTGCTGCCATGGTTGGCCTACACGGCGGCAGGTAATCTGAACATCGATCTGTCCAATTCACTTCAACAGCAGCTAAGAGTCAAAGGGACTCCAGTCCAACGCGGCAGTCTCGCTATTAGTAGACTCTTGAAAAGTCAACCCCCCCCCAGGCCTCTTCAGAGGTTTCACATGGTTGTAAAATCCATAATTGCTTTTTCATCAAGAGTCTACATTCGAACGACGGACTGCGATTTTTCATCACAGGCATCCCGGCGGATTGTTCTAACTGCGCCGCTCGCGGTGATGATCAATGTATGGATGTGCACTTAGAAGATCTTACAAGCGAAGGTTAACATCCCAACCCATCCCACTACTCCACGCCGTGCTCCAACTACTCCTCTTGCGTCCTAGACAACTACACGGTGCGGATGTTTCAAAAGCCGTGACTCCGACATCCATGCTCTTCTGCGGCCGACTCGTCTCACAGACTCGGCTCTGCGGTGTCGTGCGGGCACTGCGGACGCAGCGGACGCATCTGGAACACTGAAACGGTGCATCCCCACCAAGACCCTTCACCCGATGGCAGATATGCCAGCCAGCCTATGGTACCGCTCCTTCGGTAGCGATGTAGCGAACGAGGTACCGCAGAATGGACCGGAGGCCCGTCCGACCATTCTTTCGCCAAATTCCCGAGTTTTGCTCAACTGATGCGCGTGGTGGACGCTGCACCACCTGTTCAAGGCCCTGTTTCCGAACCGAGACCAGCTTGACCAGAATGACACCTTGCCCAGTTGTCCAGTCGTGAGAGACAAGCGGACAAACAACGATTTGGATCAAACGACCAGTGTTCGCACATGCACCCATGCAAATTGAACTGTTGTGCTCCTTCATGGACCAGTCACATACTGTTGTGCTCATATCATCCACCGTGGTTCAGGTCTGTGCTGAGCTTGGCTCCCCAGCCATCGATCGGTCTTCCCGAAGAAAAATGCTACGAAAACAGAGAATTGAATCCCTATGTGAGACAACCTGATCTTCAGACTCATATCAATCCCGTGCTGCCTCATAGTTTAAAAGAAACACGAAAAAGCGCCTTGTTGGGCTGATGGCTGAAGAGGCCAACATCCGCTTCGATCCTTACAGCACTGTGCTGGGGGGTTGGAATCGGGGGGTTGCCTAAAGAGGGGGGGGGCTTTGGCAGTGCAAGACTACGAACGAACAATACACCACAACACTATAAAGGTGGGTTGCCTTAAGATTTTCTTTGGCGGTCGTTGACAGTTGAGCCAAGAGTTCTGAGATGGATGTATAATCACTGTACGGAGATGTTGATGCACTTACAAGTAAGGGAAAAGACCACTGCCAGAGAACAATGAAGAGGCAAGCAACACAAACAAAGAAGCAAGCGAGTAAGCAAAGAAAGACTCAAATAAACAAACAAACACACAAACAAAAAATAACAAACCAACCGAATTAACACAAACATACACAAACCAAAACAAACAAACAACAAACACCGACTGAGGGAGATAATGAAAAAAAAACTGCGACTACTTCGACCTAGAAACAAAGCACATGTAGCCAATAGTAAAAGAGCCAGAACATGAGGCTTAAAAACTGCACACATTTAGCAACCAAAGACCCTAAAGATTCGCATACTGCACATCCATAGTATATATGCACATCCATAGTATATATGCACATGCTTCGCCACTCAAAAGAGACTCTGCTTCTCGTAAGGGAAAAACATGTCACGGATACAGCAGCATCACTGGGCGCCGACCGAGTCGCTACAGGCGCCGACCGGTGTGGCAAAACAACATCCCAAAAGCCCCGCCGACCCTGGAAATTCATGTTCCATTGGTACCTGCGCCATGGAAATCTGTGATATCAACACGTTTTTTAAATGTGTTGTTCGCGTGTGTTTCGCGCATAACCATAAACATACCGAACTGCGCAGATTTTTTACGTGGCCCGTGGGTACAAACATCACTGAGCAGCCAGCTTCTTGTAGCTCTCCGGCTTCTCGACCAGCTCCATCTTTCCACAAATCTGAGCGGAGAATAAAATTCTAGAGTGAGATCCATCCAAATGTTAACTGTGTTGCCCCACGTTTGCATGTGGGCAGCAAAAAGAGGGAGCGGGCGGCAGAGTGGTATGTTAAACTCAACCACTCATGGACTGTGGACATCAAAATTTGATAAAGGAATATAAAATATAAGAATCCATACCATGGGCCCTCCAGTTCGCAGGGTGGAAACGGACCAAACCTCCACCGATCAGGGGGGACCCGGATCCCCAAATCCTATGTGTTGCTTCGTGCCCGGATTCGGTGGAGAGCAATTGGTTGTTTCGGTTCCAATCCGCTTGCGGGTTTTTCCGCATCCTGATCCATCAAATCTAAATCTGATCCATCAAATTTGCAAACAAGACACATCAGCCGTGATTCCCAAACCAACAATCACAGAGTCCAGTCTGACCCAGGAAAACTGGTCCTGAAAACCTCCTTTCAGTCGTGTTCTTTAGTTTTTTAAAATCACCAACACCCAGTCAAATGAGGTCGAACTGACCTCATTTCCACCTCATCAGTTACTCCATTCTCGATGAGATTCATCCAAAGAGGTAGCCATCAGAAGGGGAAGGGCTTCCCCATTTGGATCTTATCTCATTCGCAATTTTTGAAGACGACCCGAGCGGCGCCTCGATGATTTGCTGTCGGGTGTAGCGACGGAAGGCATGGCGATACCTGGAGTGCTCGGACACGCTCCGACGAGCGACCGACGAGTTACCAGCAGGTTTTTGTTTGAAACGAGACGAGGAAAACGGGGGGGGGGCAGCCGTAGAATGGTATAGGATATATATGGGATATCTGGTGGGACCTAAAGCTCCAAAACAATCCATCCTGAAGCTGGTTAGCTTTCTCTCTTTGACGCATTGGACAACACTCTGGACTAGACTACATGCCTACATGGGTGTGTCTTAAAATAGGTGGACCTCTCAAAGACCCCCTGCAAGAAAGGAAACAGACCAAAAACCTTTGGGCCAGGGGGCCAGAAAGCCACCTCCCAAAAAAAATACATACCCACATTGACCCCTGAATTCAAGATAAATCAACCACTCCAGGAGTAGTTTCTTATGACATGTCTGAGACGCGCTTGCGAGTCCGGCGTTTTGAAGTGACAAACTCGCAGCGGTTTACGGATTTGGGACTTTTAAAACCAGGTCAACCAATTCTTTTGATGGTCCAACTCAAAGCTATAGGGTGTATACAGTATATCTATATACATCTATTATATACCGTATACCTCATGTTCCTGCGAGAATTAACAATCCAGTGAGGAAATTCTATGGCTATTGCCACGGCCTTTTGTTCAGGAAGACATGCAAATCATCCAACTGCCCAAGTGTGTTGAACAGCTGCAACACACAGTAGCAAGCAGGTTTCACCTGCTGGCATCTGAAAACAAACGTACGTGCGGTACATGGCTGGCTGTGGAGCCAAAACCAGGAGACCCTTGGTGACCTACCGACGATACGGTCTCCACTCACCGACCCCATGGACTGACCCCGCGTCGCACCCGCTGGTCTCGTCGTCGTCGTCGCGGGCCTGACGAGGCGCAACGAGAGGCGCAACGAGGGGCCGAAGACAGGGCTGTGGCAAGTGGCGCCAAGCTCTGGCCTCCACTAAAGAGGAGTACGTATGCAAGGAGGCAGGTAAGAACAGCAGCAGCAACAATCTTATGTCAGAATGAGGGCGCTATCGGAGGGATGCTAGTGGAAATGTTGCCCCATACAAGTAGATTGAAGTGCCTTCTTCTTTTTCATGGTTTGTTAAGTAAGTTAAGTATTAAGGACTGAAGACAAGTTGACGAAGCAAGCTTGAATTCTGTCAACCAGTGCCAGATATATACCAGTGCTTAGTTTCCCCAGCCGTGTTTCTCTTGGCAGCCATGGGTGGCGAAAGGGATAAAGAGATAAAGAATATGATCTTAGGCTGGCTGACAAACTTCAAACAGTTGATGAGGCTTTAGCAAGAGAGAGAGAGATAGGGAGGGAGGGAGGAATTCAAGAGCCTTTGTTGCTGGTTTTGGATGTCAGAGCCATTCATGTGCTGATGCATCAGTGGCATTCTGGTCAGCTATATAAGTCTAAGTCGTGTTTCAATGTGTTTCATTCTTGTTGGTTTCAAATGTTTTTGAGTGTTCCTCTATCGTTGCTAGTCCGCATAGTGAAAAAAACCTGGCTGGGCCCCTTTACCGTTGAAGATTGGCCAAGGTTTCACAGGTTTCTGCATTGACACCATCGATTCTAACACCAGAACACACGCTACAACAAACCACAACATGTTAAACCCAACAGTTGCTTGATATGCGAAGAGAGCACGATGACCGCACGATGATGGAGCGAGGGTCACTCCGACAGACTGTCTTGAGACTAAAAGGGACAAGAACTGGCTATCTACTGTATCTGGTAGGTTGACCTCCTGTCTGGTAGGTTGACCTCCAGCGTTCCCGGGTGTTGACCCACAGCCATATTTGCAAATGGTATATTGACTCATGATACTCATGCTAATTATTTGCATTTGCCTATATTTATATCTCGGAAAATCATGGTGTCCATGCCATTTGCCAATAGATGTTCACATTCCGGTCAAACACAATAGGCCTTTCCGATCCTTTCCGTCTATTTCCACAATACGCCCCCCAAAAGAAAAACATCCAAGGATGTTCCAACCAAACCCGAAAACCCCTCCTCATCCAACTTGAAAGCTTGGGTCCTGATCCCCTATTAATCCCAGATCAAACCCATCCGAAACCCTCCAACTTCGGCACCCCCGACCCTTTCGGACGATCAACGAGCGCTCGCGCAACCGAACCGATGCCGCGCCTCGCTGGTGGGGCGAGAGGCCTCCGACACAAAAAAAGAAAAGAGGTGCATTTCTGCGAGGCTGATTGTATCCTGGGAGTGTCAGAAATAGACGTGAAATATATATAGAAATAGACGTGCAAGTCGTTTTTTTAAAGATTGGAGTTCCTTTTCCGAAATCCATCAGCCTGGGGCTGAGATGTTCCAAAAGGGTATCTCGGCATCTCAAGAATAGGCATTTGAAGCTCGTGATTGGAAAGCGCAGATCTGAGCTTCGTGCGTCTCACGCTCCAGCTCCGAGACTCTGCATGACATAGGAGGAGCTCTGTGTTACTCTGTACTTCTCACGGATCGGATCTTGTTTGAGGACTTCAGGAGGTACATGGGGTACCTTGTTTCATTGGGCCCACGTGTCATGGAGTCCAGGTCTCATATAGAGGAGACTGTGGGCAAACTCCACGTGTTCTTCTCAACAGCCCCGCCCCGCCCTCGTGGAGAAATTGCATGCACAGCCCGCGCACCGTGGGACATGAACTCCGGAGGCCATGCGATGGGATATGATGTGATCGTTCGGACACGGATCTCACCACACCGGCGGATCTCGGGGTGACTCTCGCATGGGTGTTCCGTGCTTTTCCACTTCGAAAAATTCAGGAAGTACAGGTTGAAGGATCTATCATATCATATCTAAAACATTCCGAAACCATTTTACCTGGCTGGCCAACCTGGCTCGTCACCGGATTTGGCCGCCTCCTCGCTCCTCATGCTGTGCATCCGCTCCGCACCTTCAGGGACCGGTGCCACGGTGGACCGGTGCACCGGAGGGAGACCCGGAGACCGATGGAGACCGGGGCCACGGACGCACCGGACGGTCGTGGAGACCGGGACGGTCAGGGAGAGGACTGGAAGAGGTCGGAGGAAGTGCATCGTGACACATCGGGGCTGACCCCACTTCTCACCCCGTGTCGTCCGAACCGTACGTTTTTGGTATTCTGATCGGATTCTTTTTCAGCCGCGCGATGAACAGAAGACACTGAAGGTCGGAACCGAAATCGACGACGACTGGAGCGCGATCCACCGAATAGACACCGTGCGGTGAGAACTCATAGACACCCCGGAGGATCCGGTGTTTGGGACCCTGGGCGACTTCAGCTGCGATTCTTTCGTCTCGCATGCATGATGGGTTGATGGGAAGGCTTGGACGGATAGTGATGTTGGTTAGTTGATGTGGGTTGCTTGGTTCGGCCCAGCATCACGCAGCCCAGACGGGCCGTGGGCGCTCCACCCCAGGCGGAATCTGGGAGTCCCGAGCCCATGGCACCCATTGGGCCCATGGTACCGCCCATTGGGCCCATGGCACCGTCCATAGGGCTCATGCCCTTGGCCTCCTTTCCTTTGCCTGGCTGAGATGACCAATCCATGTTCTGAAGCAGCGGAAAGGGAAGAACATCTTCCTGGATTCACCACCACGTCATGTGATGGGGCAGTTCGCACCGTACTGCAATCCTATTGTACAGCCAGCAATTCATACAAACTTGTGTAGTCATCAGCTCCTACTGCGCCCGCTTTAGCTTCATGACTCTCACCGAACCAACCACAGTGAGAAATCACTGGTCTTTCTATCGATTATATAACCCTAGACTCCTAGACTGTTGATGAATAAGAGCCCCAAGCCCAGAGGTGAAAAAGCCTCTTCATATTGGGGAGGTCTTATTCATAATCTCAAACTGCTTTTTTTTGCTGAGCCCAGGCCCTCAGGCCCTCTCCCACACCCTCCTTGAACCCGACCGGTGCCTGGACTCTTGCCTTTGCCCTGGCGACTCGACATGTGTGACGTCTCGGAGACTCGGCTACTCGGCGAACGAGGCGAACGAGGCTCGGCTCTTCGTTCGGCTCAGGAGGCTGCGACTCTTCTGACACAAGATGTCTGGGGGTTTGGCCAGCTGAACCCTGAAGCTCTTCTAACCCTTCACATGCGCTAGCAAGAACAGCTTGAAGCATCTGCTTAACCTTGCGGTCTTGGGGATCGCCCGTGTTCCTTCACACGGGTCACACACCAAAGACGCGTGAACGGGTAGGTAGGGATGTATGGAAAGGACCGTTAAGGAAGAGTCGCTCCTTTTTAGCACCCGCCTAAGATGGTCCCCAGCACTCACTACTTGATGTGCTGTTTCTGCAGTCTTGGGAGGACGGTGACTACAGGCTTTGTTCGTTGTCCATCTTGCCTGATGATCCTCATTCGATACTCAATCTTCTGGAGGATGACTTCCAAATTCTTCCACCCCAGTCACCACCCAGCCGCGCCTTCCCTTTGCCAAAGCCGCCAGGGCATGGGCCCGGGCCGCCCGGCATGGGCGCACCCGGCATGGGCATGGGCGCACCCGGCATGGGCGCACCCGGCATGGGCGCACCCGCCACGCTGGGATCGCCTGGAGGAGGTAGACCGTGATGAGGTTCATGAGCTAATGGAGTTGATCTTCTCCAAAAAAGGACTAAGATGACTAAGGAACTCTCCATGATGGTACTCTCCCTGGAAGAAAAACATGGAAGTGGTACTGGCATGGTTCTTTGGAAGATCCATTTCCGACTGTGAATGAGTTCCAGTTATTTCCAGTCTCCAACTTCCCAACCGCTTTACAAATCGGCGCTCATGTAGCGGAAGAAAACGCATCACCTGCATCACCTGCAGGGACACACCCTATCAGTCTTGGCGTTGTGGACCGTACTAGCCCAGAGCTCCCAGCACTGCTGTAGCTCTTCTTTCAACAGCTATTCAGAACTACAGGACAATGTGAGCTGCGGACTTTTACACAGCTCTCAGACTCAGACTCGGTGTGTTTCCGCCTTTGAAGCCCTTCTCCATGCCTTTCCCCTCCTGCCACGGAGCAGATTCATCCGGGTGTGCTGCACGGCGTTCCCTCCCAAAAAGCGACCCTGGCAGTTGCGGTCACAGGCTTTGGAACAATAAGCCCTGCAGGGAGCCAACTCACAGACGCGGCATGGCTAGGGGGTTTGACCCGGGTCGTGAAACATCCATTGCCTTCGGGTTCCCGTCCAAGAACCGCGGTCCACCCTGTACAGGTACCGAACCCAGTAGGGTGCAAATGGTGTTGAACGAGCCCCAAAAGAAGGGCAAGGTACACGTGGCAACCGACTCTGCATTCCGGAGACACTGTATTCATCCCTACAACCGCAAGCGTTGGCACAGTTGCGTGTTTTGGAACACGAGGTCTCACCGTCCAACAGCTGCGCAGGATCAGGCAAGCGTTGGCAGAGTAATGACAACCTCTGTCAGAAAGACGTGGTCAAACCCAACCCATTCATTCACATTCTTTCAACCCTAAGAAATCCGGACCCTCTGTATACAGTACATCAGCATCCTGTTTGAAGGTCCGCGATCGCTCCTGGCCCTCGTTCCAAGCACTCTGGAGCGCCTGGCCGTCTAAGCAACTTGTCACGTGATGCTGTGTTTAAGTCAAAGTGAGAGCCTAGTTGAAGACACGCCGATATAGCATCCCTTTTGTGTTCCATCGTATATATTCTGGACCACTTCACACTCCGAGATGAGCCTCGACGGTGCGCCGCCTCTTGCCTACGCCTCCCTGAGAGTTCCTACTGGGATACCGGAAGATTCTTAGAATGGCAGCCGCCCAAAAGAGATCTGCTCCGCTCTCTAGCAGAACGCCAACCTACACAGAGTGTAAACTATATAAGGTTGGGAGGCTCTGGAGAGAGGCTGGGAACATTCGGAACCACAAGAGGCTGGGGACCTGACGACCTGACTCACACACCATCGCAACAGGAGTTAAAGAACCCTCACTTCATTATGTAGATTCTTGATACATAAGCATCCCCCTATTATCCACCATGTCACATGTGGATTGTAAATCCAAGTAAAACCTCTCTTCATTTGGACCGGTTGTTATACATTGAGTCTACCGTCTACCCCAAAACGCCCATCCGCCAGTTCATCAACCCCTCAGTGGCCATCCGTGTGGCTGGAGCCTGGGCCACCCATGAACCCTGCGGGCCATCGCCCAATCGAGCCCCGGACCCAGTTGCCCGACCAAGCCTGGGCCCACAACGGCGGCCCGTTGAAACGCGAGGGATCGGAACAGCGACGGCGTCACCCCGGTGATAACTCACCGGGAACAGAAGCTCGGTGGTGATATATCACAAGAACATGGGTGAAAATCACCATGTTTTTGGGAGGGTCATCGGGTTTTTGAGACATGCCCAGAGAAAAAACACATGCAATTGGTGGGATACCAGCATGTTGCCAATGTGCAAAACATGTAGACCCTCCTTATACATATATATATATATCCTTATTAACCTTATATGAGCTTTTTGAAGCGCAAGCAGTCATACCCGACCATCATACCTATTCATCCTTCACTCAATTGATCGATCATATGGCTGTCTGAACCGTATTATAAAAGGCAAGGCCGGCGCTGGCCTGGTAGTCCAGAACTTGGCACTTGGATTAGCACCATCTGACTCTGACTCTGAAACTCATATCTTTTGCTTTGCGCCTTCACACAATACTTCAAGAACCCTAAAGTTTACGCTTCTTACTCTGTTCATCCAGTGTTCACTTTTGGCACCCCAGTGTATATAAACATCCAGATGCTCATGGACCCCCATATAGAGGGATCGGACCCGAATCCTCTGGAGGGGTCTGGGGTTTCAAAAAGCGGATTGGTCGGGCTGCTTTCACGGAGCGAACAGTCCAAATTATCTGTTCTGTCAGTTGAACGGCTCACTAGGCTCCTGGCGGCAGCCCATGCTGGCACACCTCAAACACCATTCGTCTTTCCAGAAACTCATTCCAGCCCTGCCAATCGACAGCGCTACCACTGAGACTCTGCTACCTTTCAAGGCAATTTCGCCCCAAACAAATCCATCCCATCACTGCACCAACGGCGATGCCGTAGCGCGGAGCGCCGTGAAACTCACCCCAAACAAATAGGACTCGGACTAGGACGGTGCTTGTATTTCATGGTGAACTGGGTGCCCCTCCGGATTTGCTTGACCACTTTGAGAGCAGGAAAAAAACACGGCCAAAACACCGAGTGGCCACTCGGGTGCTTCATCTCAGATGAAAAATCGCCCGCGAGTTGCGGAGCGTTCGGTGCGGCAGTGATGGAACTTCACCAAGACCACCCAGTGGGGTTTATAGAAGACGGATCCCCTTGAAACATCCACTGACTGACTGACTGATGTATATTTCATTCAATAGCATCCAATGACAACCCCTTTTGGGTGGTGCTGCTAGTTGCCCCAAACTTGGACCGTACAGGATTCTTTGTGGCCAGATGATGCTGCAGGCTTTTCAGCTTGCAGCGAAGCGTGCGATGGCAAAGGGATGGCACTCCACTCGATGGGCCAAGACGTGGCTAATGTAAAACCCCAAGACGGTGAAAAACGCGCCTTCATGATCCAACCATGCTTTGGGTGATGAAGTTCCCCTTTGAAGGCCTTTCCGACTCGGATCCTCAGCCCGTTCAAGAAGCCGAGGACACCGGAGGAAACCGAAACATACCGAAACCCACACCGTTGCACCCCGTTGCACACCACCGGCTGGTTCGCCTCCGTTCCTCAGCTCCCACACCATGCGCTTGGAGGTTGGGCACCGGCTTCATGGGGAAGAAGCTCCGGAGGAACTGCTGCGACCTCGGTCCGGTCCGTGGTGGTGCGGGTGGTGCGCACGCGGTGGTGCGGGTGTCCGTGGTCCAAACGGTGGCCCAATGGGAGGAGCTTGCAGTTCTCGGAGCACCACCAGGGCCAGTGATGAATCGACGTGGAACAGCAAAAAGTAACAGCTTGGAAGCTTGATGTTGGGCTGCTGACTGGTTGTGCCCCTCACACACACACACACATATATATATATACACACACACATACCCGCAAGTCATTGATTTGCGCCAGGAGTTCCCTCTGCAGGAATGACTTCTTGCATGTTCTGAGCGCCAAGCTTGATAGAGCACTTCACATTTGCTCCACGAAGCTTTTGTGACCTGAACAAACACCAGTGCAGGTCGCAAGAAGAACGTGCGCATCGCAGGCCAGTCAGCTGCACGTCACAGGTCAGCTGCACGGCAAGTCCACATACAGTTGCTTCAAAGTCCCAGATGATCGCCATTGGTTGTGGGGCTGTTGCAAAAAAGGTTTACTGTATCTGATTGTATCTCCTGGCCCATAGACACGTCATGTTTCATGCTTTTCCTATCGTTTCCTTCTATGGTCTCTGTACATCTCTGTACTATATTCATACAAGCTATATAATCAAGTCAGTGTCAGGTTTTGCCCAGAAGGCCCGGGCCTGCGGCCCCGGCCGAAAGCGACCCAAACATACACCCTGAAAATCAGCGCCCGAAGCAATGGGAAGGCTTTTGAGGGGACCCCTGCTATGGAGGCCCTGGTGGATCACTCAAAAATGCCTCCTCCGAACCTCCAAAAAGGGGGGCTATGACCCGACCAAACCCTGAAGCCGCCTGAAGAAGCCATTTGGGGTGTGGGAGTCACCGAATCATTCTGAAGCCCTTCGGGGCGCCGTCCGTTTGGGTGTCGTTGTTTCCACCCGGTCAAACGTCAAACCGTCCGCCTCAGCCACAAAGCAGCATCCGTCGCGGCGCCGTCGTCTTCGAAGGTGACGAAGACCTTCCGAACGGGTCAGGTCAGCTGAAGGAGTGCGCATGATTTCCAGAGTGGGGAGTGCATCCCACACTTTTCTCGCGGAAAAACGCTCTTCGAAGATTTGCACTGCAACCGGCAACCTCACACATCCAGTTCTGATGCGACATCCCATGCGGTCTGACCAGCCACACCTCCATGTGTGGCAAAAACAACTGCACCACACTGCACCCCTTAACTTCAAGGATCTACTGAATCTACTACAGTATATAGGACTGTAGCATGAATCAAACACTCTCTTGGGCGCCTGGAGATGCAAAACGAGTCTGGAGACAGGGGAAGGATTGATGCATCAACCGCCGTCTGTCAGCACCTTCCAAGTGTTCACCTGGCTGGTTTCGCCCCTGACACTGCTCTCCATTGGCTACCCCGAAAGACTATTGCAAGAGTGTGTGTCTAGACCTCCAACCTTCGAAGGCGGTTCGACCCCCCAACTCCTCCTGGGCTCCATCTTCTTAGGTTGGAGCCCAGGCGTTGACTGGCATCTGTCCCTCCCTGCGCTGCCCTTTGGGCCCTCACAGTGCTGTTCACATCGGGCTTGATGCCTGGGCGGTGTTCGGGATCGGCAGCTGGGATCGGGCTGGCGGTAAAAACAAGAGCCAAACGTCCAGCCGAGCGCCCAAGACTTGCTTCAGATTGCTCCAAAGATTCTGTGCTTGAAGCATCTTGAAACATATAAACATGGAAAGAGAAGCAATGCTGAGCCATGGTCAACGGATGTCCGTGGTCACCTAAGAAAAACCCAGAAAAGTCACCAAATGGTTCCAAACGATCACATTGACCACGTCCGAAACACCAGTTGCGAAACAAACCATCGCCCATGCCACCTCGCCCATGCCACCATCCAAACCGCCCTGTCGAAGCTGAGCTCGCCAGGATGCTGTTTAACTTCTCCGCGCAGGGGCACTTCTCAAAGAGCTCGTGCAGCTCCTCACAACAAGGCATTTCGGTGCCTTCACCTTGGCCTCTTCAGGCCTTCGTCCAAAAAGCAGCCAGGCGTTCCGCTTTCCGAACTCAATCCTCCAACCGAAACGTCCAGGCCGTCCAGATCCAACGCTTCGGGTGCTTCCAACCCCAATCCTTTCAGAATGAAGACGACCGGAAGACCTGGTGTCAACACCCTGGACCAATCCATTTCGACGACCACTTCCTGGTTGGTAGGGAAAATGTTCACCAGCCTAAGCCTACGGTGGATGGATGTCTCCCTATTCAAATACACACCCATTTACTCAGGTTCATTCCTGGTTCATTCCTGGTTCCAACTGGAGGTCCATACCTGAAAGTCCATCGCTCTGCTAGATTCACTGACGCCGCACGGGTCGAGCAAGCGAGAGAGTTGCCTCATCTTCCCTGCAGTCGATTAGGGAGCTGATCCAGTCATCACATGGCAAAGTGAACAGATGCGCAAAGCCTCCTGTCACCCATCTACTAAAGACATCCAGTCAGTCAGCCTCCCAAAGTCAGGGGCTCCATGTCTGACATCATGTAAGGGCCCTCACCACCTGCCTCACCGAATCATCGGTCTCCTCCAAGGGGATCTGATCCGGAAGATCGTGGAGGATCACCTGAGGCGGAAAGTGTTGGGCCCCAAGAATCCTTGGGCCTCCCATGGCAGGGCTCCTGACAAACCATTTGGTTCGCCCGACCATCGACCATCCTCAGCCGCGATCACGGGCAACGGGAGGTCCGTCTCCTGGTGCCTGTGCCCCCACAGCCATTTCCAAGCAGGCTGTGGGTCAAGGAGTGATGAAAGAACCGGCAGCCCGCTGGCCCGCAGTCGGCCAGCGCCAGCCCTCTCTAAGGAGTGGTCCCGTTGCTGCAAAGGGGCGGCTCTGCAGCAAGGAGCGGTAGGAAGAATATTATGACACAACAAATAACAAAAATAATAATAACAATAACAATATAATAAAAAATATATATTTCAATATATATATATATATATTATTATGTTATATTATTGTCTATCATGTTGTATAGTATAGTATAATATAATATAATATAATACAATATATATATAGTACAGCGTGTACCTTGGGAGTCCAAGACTATTCTTCAAATGGTCCTTCGGTGACCCGACAGGGTCTGTCCTCTGAACACTTCGGTGATTCCGAGTGAAATGATTCCCAAGGAAGCTTCCTTCTAAACAAGTTCTTGTTACTGGAAGCTTCAAATATACATACTAAAAAGCGTACCAAAAGACTCCACATCCAGATTGTGTGCTCGTCCCGACCGTGAAAATGGACCCCTGTGTGTGGTCGTCTGCGGGAGGGTAAATCGAAATACTCGTTCAAAGATAGTCATGATTTGGGATTTGAGACAAGACTGATTTCTTTCAACCCACAGCCAAGGCACAGTATTCCTCTTGCTCTTGATGATGGGTTTCACCTGCATCGCCGCCTGGGTTAGTGCGGAACAGGCTCGTCCCTCGGTCCCTCGGTCGTTCTGCGCGGTTCTGCAAAGGGCAATGCAGTGGGGTGTGAGTCTGTTTCGGTGTTTCTTCTAATTAAGGGGCTTGTATTGTGAGGGAGTTCGTACCCACACATTCCATGTATAGTTTCGTTTTTTTTACAACAAGTAATTATCTAAATAACTACATTGGCCCCAGAAACCACCCCATCTGATCGGCATATATGCCAAGTCCCATGGAGTGTCTAGTTATAGACCCAAGTGCAGTATGTGATCTTCAATCAACACAAGTCTTGACACGGGTTTCTATGTCCAATACACTGAAGCAAAAAAACTCCGGTCATGAAATCTGCAAGCAAGCCGGTGTAAAGCCCATATTTGGTAAAGAGTTCTGCTTTCAGGTGAAACAGCACCTATTCACCTTCATGTCGGGGTCAGTTGGCTGGTTTCGCCCCAGCCCACTACTAAGGGACCTCCAGCCAGGACACCCGTTGAAGGTCCGGTTATTCACCACCATCGGGATCTTCCACGATCTTCCGAACACTGCGAACACCGTCACCCTTCCAAAACCGACCTCGCCCGGTGCCCGGTGCCACGTTTCTGTTTTCTCCGTTGGTCCCAAACAAATGGCACGGCACGACACGACATCGAGCATCGTCTAGCGGAGGGCGCCGAACGCCCGCACGCACGTACCGAACGCGGCGCTCCGATCCCGACGACTTCGCCTTGTCCACCGTCACCTGTTGAGAACGTAGCCTGGGAGCGTCGCCGGTGCGAACGTTCCACGCGTTCGGCCTTCGCCCTCCCGCGGCGGAAGAACGGTTAGACCGGTTTGCCGTGCGGTTTTCGTCATGGGTCGTGATGTCAAGATGTCATGCATGTGCGAAAAATAGAGGGGTCGATTTGGTACCACATACCTATGATTGGATCCAATTGGTTGTTCACTTGGGGTTTGTCAACCAAAGGCTATCTATGGCTCTGTTTTTCGGGTGGTGGAACAGTGGAGAGTGCGGTTCTGGGGTCACTGGAAAGAGATCAACATCTTCCAAACCGGCGCCAGTGCACCTAGTAGGAACCCAAGAATCATTGACTTTCTACGGGGTGGAGAGTGGTATTGATCATAGCTTGGAAAGGTGACTTGCTTTCTTCACATCTACCAGCTTGCTAATCCATGACCTGGTGTGGAGTCTCGTTCTGTCTCTGTCTGTGACGAGAAACAGGCCTGGCCTCGGTCTCCCTTCTCCGGATGAGCTCACGATCCCATCGACCCAGGGGGTGGACCTCCTCGCTGCACTGGTGTGGGGTTTTGTCTCAGGGTCGGAGTGTTCGTTTTCAGTGGGGTAACTCACTCCTCCACGTCTTCTTTTGGGAGCTCAGCAATCGAACGAATCGAGGAGTCAACTCGAATTACAGGAGATGTGAACTGACCAACCCAAAGCGGACAACACTGGAATCAGCGCGCATCTCTTCCATTTTTCCGGACCTGAGGGGCCAGCCACTGTCACTAACCTTGGCCACAATGGCTGCCATCATATCAACCATCTGTGTTCCCTCTGCCATCAGGCCTTTTGCTACCCTCATACGATATCTCAGCATTCTGATCATCGCAGGTACCAGTATCGTCTCCATGCGGACTGCGGCCTCCTTCTCCTCCACACCAACAATCCTGCGAAGACAACCCCCGCAAACACACACACCTGGCTCATCTGAGAAGTCGTCAACTTTGAAGGCTTTGCTCCGCGAAACTCATCCCAGGCATGTTGGAGCTCTTGGATGACACCTGGCACAGCCACCAGCTGCTTTCCCGTCTCAGCAGCTTCTCTCACTTGTTCACCTGCCTGGCTCACACCTTCCTTCAAAGCCTCAGCCCCCGGCATGAGGGCAGCAGTCATCCAAAACGGAGCACTCAGGCAGCTGGAGGCCAGCGCACCCACACCGCTGATAAAGACGATGCCACGACCTCCCAGCGCTTGCACCATCCGCCACAAAGGAAAATGTGTAGCTTTTGCCAGGTAGCCAACAAAAAAGCCCCGGACGAAGGACATCATTTGGGTGGAAACACTTGGTGGCAACTGGGAGTCGGATCTGCCGCAGGGCCCAGGCGAAATTCGACCTGAGTTCTTTCTGCGAGCCAAAAGTAACGCATCATAAAGCTGAGGGTCGTGTCGCCGATCCAAACCGACGGATCATTGGGGCAGCCCGACTTCTTTGTCAACACTCCGGGTGAGCACGGCTTGGATTTGGAGGTTGGGACTTCAAATCAAGAAGTCATTGCATGCAAAAAGAGAAGCGCCAAATCACGCTAACTTCAGCCTTGCATGGCCTTCCCGAAGATCACTTCCGGAACCCTCCCCTCCAAGCTGACTATGACTATGACCATCTAAAAGTCTTTAAAAAACAACTCAAAGTCTCCTCCAAAGGTCACCGGCCTTCTCGTCCACCGCTCCCATTGACCTCCCGCCACCCGAGCCCCCCGGAGGCTCGCCCCCCGGAGGCTCGGTGTCGCGGACCCGGTTCGTCCCAGCGGCGCGGCGTCGTAGAGGGTCTGGACGTCGACCTGGACGTCGCCCTCTTCAAATTGTTCATGCCCTGCGAGGAGATGGATATGGATGTGTGACGGGGTGATGTGTCGTTAACACTCCAAACACTCCATGAAATATATATATATATATGATTACTATCATTGTTATACTAGAGTATACGAGTGTATATATATATATATATTACATGGACCGACCCCTGTTCTGTTCAACTACCCCAAGCTTAGCGAATGGTCAAGAATTCCATGGAGTCTTTGGGGAAGGGATATTCCTCGGAGCAGTTGTCCCCTCCCTGTGGCAGAAAGGGGTAGAGCAGTGTCTACCGGTGTTTGGTGTCCGATCTGAGCTGCTGGACAGCTGCAAAGCTGACAGTCAAAAGCTGCTAGGAAAAACCTGAAGGTACCGCAGTAGAAGTTTGCTGACAGGGTCTAGTGCAAGGGCTTCTTTTGGTTGCTCAACTGGGATTGAACCCATCTCTACCTTGCTAAAGGCAAGAAAAACACAAGCGCACAAGGCGCTACTGCGCTACTAGGGAAAACAATAACCTCCGACAGTCAAATGCAAACATGCTTGGAACATGTTGGATGATGACTGTCCTCTTGAAAAGGTGCTGCACGCCTGCAAGGATGCAGATTGGGATGTTCATCTGTGCATCCATATTCATCTGGATGAAGCTGTCCTCTCGATGGGCATCGGAAGCAGAGTGGGTACCAAATCGGACGGCGTATGGTTTTTCAGCCACAGATGGCCATGTAGGCCGAGATTGGTGATGGGTCACATCGGGACCTTGGTCTTGCTTTCTCTCACCCCAGACGCGACCCTGGACCCGAACCTGTTTTCACGGAGCATGCAGGCGATCCAAACGAATCATCAGTTCGAGTTGCTCCAAATGGTGGTATTACAGTATACAATACATAATATTAAATAATACTGGTATCGGGTTTGTGGTGTATCTTACCTTCTTTAGGTTTCGGCTCAACGCCTTCCAGTGGTTACCCGAGTCGGCTGAAGGTTGAGGGTTCAGTGCAATGGACCAGTGGATTTGGGCGCCGCTAGGGCCAGCTGACACAGGACATCCCGTCAATGTCCTGTTGCGCGCTGAACAGGGGCATTGGGTTCATCCGGTAACGGACCAGATCTTCTTTGTTGATGTTGCTGCGGAGCAAGGAGCCTTTCGCAGCTTCTTCATGTGGGTGCCCTTGGTTGAGGAGGCACATGTGGTTTTGTGCCCGACAGCTGAGGCGGTTAGTTTTGAGGAAGATCGAAATCCTTTCGCTGGATTGCAGCGCTTTGCAGAACTGTGCGCCGGACTCGGTGGCTCGGCTTTCGGTGTTTCCACTTCAGGATTTACACCGGTTTTGGCAGTGGACAAATCCCCTCTAGCTTGTGACTTGTTGAGACAAAATCAGTTTCCTTGTGTTTTGGAGGGATCTCTGTCCGATTTAAAGATCCAGAAAGAAATTCGAGTTCAAATGGGGCCCCAAAGACAGGTGGCTTCGTGGTTGGCCATGCCAGCCCTTTAGCTCTTTAGGGCCGAAGCGCCACTTCATGGACGAACGGGCGCACAGTTGACTGGTGCCTCCTTCCTCCTGATTGAATGCGTTCAGGCAGCTGGGCAGGATCCAGCAGCGCTTCAGACTCTTAAGCGCTACTGTGAGCTCACCAATTCCCATTGGGTTTCTAAAGTCCTTCATCTTCAGACTCCCTGGGCATCAAATCGCACGAGATGCTGTTGCACACCCTTTTCTTGGTTGTGGGCCCCAGGATTTTGAGCAGGAACTTCAACATCCTCCTGCCGCTTTGCTTAAGCATGGTCTTGATGATTGCACCATGGTTCATGAGGCTGGTAAGATTCTTGCTCGAGCTCAACTTTCTCTACAGCAGTTCCTGGCACCCCGCTATGTCAACATGCTGACGGAGGTACCTCGGGCTCAGGCTTTGGCCATGCTTCAGCGGATTGACTTTGACATTGCCTTGCCTTTGGTCATGTTTCTTTGGGACGCTGGACATTGGACCTTGCTCCTCCTTCAAAAGGCGCCTGATGGTCTACATGCTCATCATTATGATGGCCTTCGACGTTCTCCTCCCCATGAATTGGATCTTCTCCTTGCGCTTTTTCAACAGCATTTGGCTTGTCAAGAATGTCATCTATGTGTCGATCAGGGTGTCCTTCAAAAGGATGTGTACTCCTGTGGCACCATTGCTCTTCTGCGCCTGGGTGCCCACCTACGTGTGTTCCAGCACATTGATGCTGCCACAGCGGAGTTATGGTATCAGAATCTTCATCGGCGACAACGTCTTCATGGCTGTGGACCTCTCACTGAGGCTGCCGTTGTGCAGTGAAGCTAAAGATCCATGGAGGCAGCCCAAGCAGCTGGGTAACACCAAGTCTCCAGGAGTTGCATACTCAGATTGCACAGAAGGCCAAGCACAAGCACGGTGCTGAGACCAAGAGCTCTGACAAGAAGACCAAATCCAAAGCCAAGCGTGTTGATCCTGTTGTCAACCTCACACCGGATACATTGGAGATTGCGGCAGGTGCCTTTCAGGATGTTGATGGTGCCAAGCTGGATTGCATTCCTTTTCAACAGGTCAAATCTGATGCTCGTGGAGTCGCTATCTGCACCATCGAGGAAGCGATCACTTTAGCCAAAGAACCACAAAAACTTAGCGTCGATGCTTTGGCCTTAGTCACCATTGGTATGTTGCCCAACAATGTCACCTGGAGTGTGGATGTCGAATCGCTTCAATGGCCGGCAATCTATGCTCCTACAGGTGATCCAATTTTGGTGGCTGGTTCCCTCATTCAGTTGGGTGATCATGATGTCTATTTTGCCAAGATGGACAATCCTCCTGAAGTGGGACAGGTTGCCACGGCTATTCTTCGTCTTCAGCTTTGGAAGGATCAGACCGATCTCAATTGGGATGATTTCAAGCGCGGGCCAGTGCGCATGCTTCTGCAGACTTTGCCTTCCCGTCGATTTTGCGATGGAGTTCTTTGCAAGGGACAGTGTGCTTGCTTTCATGCACCAGTCGATGAAGAAATCGACCATGTCCTCATTGACTGTTGGGCATGGCGTTGGCTTGAGGAAGATGGCAAAGTCACTACCAAGGATAAGTCGCAGGTCTTCTCCATCTATGCGAGAGTGCCTCTTAGTGCGGTACGTGGTATTCTGGCAGAATCAGGTTGGCATGGATTCTATGCTGAGCCTCGTGCTTCTGAAGGTCAAGGTACTGACATCAGCTATGCCGTCATTTGGTTACCCAAGATGGCTCTTGAAGCTGTTCAGAATCTTGCACGCCGGCATGATCAGATCTTAGGACTTGCCCGTATCCGGAACAAGCTTGGTGCTCGTCTCTTGCCCAAGGATGAGCCTTTGATGCTGCAAACCTTGTTTCCTGATCGGTCCATGATTGCAAAAAGGTCCGCGCAAATGCTGTGATCCGATCCCAAGGAAGTCGATCAAGAGGATCATGATGATTCCATCGGGGATGCCACAAAGCCCTAGTTCAGCATGAATTTGATCGCAGGAAGGTAGTGGCTGGCGCACTTGCAACTTTTGGCCTGGAACACATAGAAGATCACCCTCAATGAGGTAACCAGCTGTGCCTGGAGAGGGAGTCAGATCCGTAGTGTCATCCTGAAGGAAGTCACCACGTTCACAGGGATGTCATTCAAAGTGGCTGCATGTAGAACAGGTAATGGCCGATCAAGAGTAACCAAACCCGTAGGCGGATCCACTGCAGTAATCGTGGCTTCAACTGTGCGTTCCAGATAGTCCAAAGAAGAACGAGAGGCTGGATTCAGATCTTGAAAGAAGTGCCGAAGAGAGCCTTCACGACGATGCTTCAGAGCCCGGGCTCGCTGATCCAATTGCCAGCGCTCAAAGGAGCGAAAATTGCAGTGGTAGTCGGCAAAGATATGCTCGTAAACCTCCAATGCTGGCAAGGTAGTCGGAAGAAAGCGAGGAGAGGACTGAAGACGAATTCTTCTCTGTGTCCACCAGGTCACAAAGCCATGAGCAAAGCCGGAAGCACAACGAACTGAAGTCCAAAGCATGGCCTGATGAAAGCGAGCAGAGGAATCCGTACGACCAGCACGTAGAGCATGAAGTAGACTCTGCATACGCCGAAGCTGCTTATACCACAAATGTGTAGTCTTGCCCAACAGCGATGAGATCGGAGCAAGCTCGCCAGGTCGTGGTGGCTTCAGCCGACGTTGTTGAGCATGTCCTGGCTGTGGCTGGACATAGTGCCCTCTGCCGAAACATCCTCGGAGAAGATTTCCATGAGAGGATCCAGCAGCAGTGCGGATAGATGCCTCAACAGCCAAAGACCAAGCAGCAAAAGACTTGGTAAGATCAGAGCCCCAAGTCCAGGTAGTCCATGTGTCCAAAGAGGAATGCCAAGCTGAAGTGGTTGCCCAACGCATGTAGTGAACGCTTGAACTGTGCAACGCCCACTGCAAAGAGCTGTGTCTCAGCAAAGTGCCATAGTCCAGGAGGTAACTCTTGAACACAAGCGGAACGATGAAGCAAGCCAGCAGGATTGGCGCATCCAATAGCCACTTCAAGTGAGGATTGAGAAGACTCATTGGAGCAACCCTCAAGAAAGCGCCCAGAGCAAGGGGGTTGCTGAGGCGAGCTCTGATGATAGCAAGATTCAGGCCCAGGATTGGTCGCCTCACCCAAGCGACAAAACCAAGTGAAGATAACGAATCCTTACCATAGGACCCCAAAGCAAGGCAGGCGCGTGGAGGTAGGACACCTCCACCGCCGAGATAGTCATTCACCGTCAGTCCGCTGCCGCTTGAGCAGCAGGGCTTCAATGCGATTCATCTGTTCATCGTTGGCACTTTTCAAGTCATCTCGCCGCGTGCGATTGAGGGAGGCAAGATCACCTCGAATCTGCTCGGTAGTGGCAGCTTGCGGGTGCACGGCCTGGCCAATCTCCTCCATGCGTGTTTGCTGCGTGCCAAGTTGCACATCAATCTGCTCAAGGTGTCGTTGATGGCTTCCAAAATGAACTGCCAGCTCATCCATCTTGGCGCCCTGGACTGCATGCTGAGCCTCAAGCTTCTCGACACGGGCACCAGTGGTGTGACACCAGTTGGCAAGTTTGTCATTTTGCGCCTTGAGCTCCGTAACAGTTCATCAGCCAAGGCTTGAGAAGAGATGGCCTCCATGCTGACATCAGGGGAGGAAGTATTCAAGGACCCCACTGCTTTAGCCACTTCATGTTGCAGATCACTCTTCAAACGGGTTCCAATTCAAAGTGGGATGCGAAGTGCCTCAAAGCTTTGACGAAGGACTTTATTTAATAAAATCCTTTCGAGCTGAGGTCATTCCCTTATTTTTTTGTGTGCCAACGTTGGCAGCCAAAAAAAATGGCTAGCTTTTGAGCATTTATGGAATCCCGCGCCAACGTGTTTTATGGAATCCTGTTACCCAGGTTGCAGGAGCTAATGACTAACAAGCATATTGGCGTATTAAATTCCTGGTTTGGGGGGGGTTGGAGAGGCGAAGGTTCTGGCTCTTTTTCAGCGTATGCTCTCGGTCGTCTTGCTGGGGCAGAGTGCTGACATGATTCTTCAGAATCGGGCCACGCTTAAGTCTATTTTGGTTTGCTTGTCCTTCATGCGCGTGCATTGCTTGTTTGTGACCATAAGATCAAAATGTG